GTGAGATGTGAGTTTAACGCAAACACGCTGAGCAGTTGTCTACAGAAAGAGCTTCGTTTCCGATTTCGATTCAAGGATATTTGCTACTCTCACCATAGCCCCTCTAATGGGATTGCCAAGCAGTATCACTTTGACAATTGCGCACAGAGCACTGTCTTAGCGATAAGGCTTCTTGGAGGGGAAAGCTGTAACTCTGTGAGATGATTTCATCGGAACACAAAAGAGAGTTTCTCAGAAAGCTTCTTATCGGCAATTGGTTATCGCGATGGATTTCTTCCTTGGTCGCCCCTACAGTTTCAAAGATCCGAAACTTATCTGTTCTCCAGATTCCACAGAAATAAGGCTAGCACGAGAGAATTCACGAAATACAGGAGTGTAACTGCTGTGAGATGAATTAACAGAGCACTAGCGAGTTTCTCAGGAAAGCTTCTTCTCCAGGATTCATTCCAAGGATCATTGCCTATCTCACCATAGCCCTCTACGGGCGTTCCAAAATAATCACTTTACAATTCCACAAGAACTGGTCTGTCAGCGAAAGCTCGTATGAGCAAGCTGTAACTCTGTGAGAGTGTTTCACAGAACACAAGAAAGTTTCCTCAGAAAGCTTCTTTGCTCTTTGTTATCAGAGGATCATGTTCCTTTGGCCCTATAGTTCTTCAAAGGGATCCGAACAGTTCTGTTGTCAGATCGCACAGAAATAAGGCTAGGAAAGACCCGACGAAACACAGATGTACTCTGAGTGAGATGCAATTAAGAGACGACGACTAAGCAGTTCTCGGAAAAGCTTCGTTTCGCATGAGTGTTTTCGGCTCGCGAGAATGTATATTTGTTCTTTTTCACCATAGACCCTTTATGGGCTTCATGAATATCGCTTTGTCCAATTCCACGTAAAAGAGATGTCTTAGCGAAAGCCCATTCCTGAGGGAAAGGTGTAACGTCTGTGTAAGATGATTTCACAGAACATCAAAGATGTTTTTTCCAGAAACTTCTTTCTCTTTGTTATCGGAGGGATATTTCCTTTGGCCATATAGTCTTCAAAGGGATCCGAAATACTGTCTCAGATTCAAAAATCTTTGATTTTTGAATCGTATTTTCATCTTCGTTCAGTTTGTGTATGTTTTAAGTTCCTTTGATATTTCCTTTTGACCTGCGAAAGTGTGGTCATTTGATCCATGGGTCAAAGAACTGTGGTGTTTAATTTCTATATGTTTGAAGATTTTCCTCTTGTCTTTTTGTTATTGGTTTCTAGTTTGATTCTATTATAGTCAAAGAACATACTCTATGATTTTCCCCCTTGCTTTAAACTTAAATTGTTCTTCATTCTGTAGTTTCCTGGTAGAAATATGAGTTATTAATTTTAGACCTTTGTTTTCTAACATGTGTGTTTAGTACTCTAAGTTTCCCTTTAAGTATTGCTTTGGCTGCATCCTGTTACTTTTTGATGACTTGTATTTCATTTTCATTTAGTTGAAAATTTGTTTTATTTCTCTTCAGATTTCTTTTTTCACCTAAATATTTAGAATTAAGTTGTTTAATTTCCAAATATCTAGGAATTTTCCAGCTATCTTTTATTATTTCTAGTTTAATTCCCTTGTAGTTTGAGAACATAATTTGTATGATATCTTTTAAATTTTTTAAGGTGTGGTTTTTTGCCCACATTTTGTAAACATTCTCATTTAAGTGTTCCTACCAGTTTATGGCTCTAGCAGCTCTGTCCAGGTAGGCAGATTTCAGCTGTGACTTGGTATATGGTCCATGGGCATTTGAGAAAAACAACGTATATTCTGCCACTGTTGGATAGTATTCTGTATATGTCAGATTTTTTTTTTATTGTGTTGTTCAGTTTTTCTGTACTTGTACTAATTTTCTATCTAGTAATTCTATCAGTCGCTGAGAGTAAAGTATTGAAGTCCCTGACTCTATTTATGGATTTATCTATTTCTCCTTTCATCTCTATTATTTCTTAACAGCTTTATTGAGATAATTCACATATCATATAGTTTCATCCATTTAAAGTATACAATTCAGTGTTTCTTAGTACATTCAGTGATATGTGCAACCCTCACCCTAATCCATTTCAGAACATTTTCTCACCCTAAGGGAAACCCTGAACATTTAGCTCTTGCCTCTGTCCCTCTATCCCCATCATATCTAGCTCTAGGCAACTGCTTATCTACTTTCTGTCTCTGTAGATTTTCCTATCCCTGGCCTTTGGCTTACTTTACTTGGATCCAATTTCATCTGGGCATGTTACTGGTTCTGGATTGGAGGTTTCTACAGCATTCTATTTAAGATATAGAGAGCAATAAGGTACCCAGGGAACTCGCCAGCACTGCGTTGTTCCTCAAGTCCCTCTGTCCCTGGGCTGTCTGCCTTCATTCTCCCTTTCAGAGCTTGCCTGTGCTTATTTGTTGTATTTTGTTCAGAGTGTTTCAGGTGTAGTGGAGAAGACCTGGGAAGAATGGGGCCTACCCCATCTTGGTGGAACCAGAAGTTCCCACTGAAATATATTTTCTCCCAAAATCCAGAGGGATCCACCAAGTGTGTATCTGTTTCTCTGTAGTGGGCAGTTCTGGATATAACTCTTCTTTTTCATTTGAAACTGCACTGATGTAGCAGGCATGTGAACTCTTGCAGGATTTCTCTCTCACCTCTGATAATCATGTATCTATTGAGGCATCAAGGGTGCTTGCTACTTCCAGTTTGTATTCTCCCTTGCAAATATATTTAGCCTTAGGGAAGAAAAGACTTCTTGGCCCTCCTGGAGATTTTCAGGAGGTGGCTGAGCAGGGTCCGCCACCTTGGGTCCTCTCTGCATTTCCATTTATCCTCCCTCTAGAATCTGCAAGGGGAGTCTAGCACAGCTATCTCATCGGCTGTTGGCCTCCAATGAGTCAAGCCTTCTGTTAACCACTCCCAGGTGCTTAATGTATCATATTCTGAGGTATAGGTGAAGTACCCCTGTTGGCCTGATCCAATCTTACATTCATTCTTGCTGGCTAATGTACTTAGAATCCATTTCCATGTGTGCCCTCCAGGTTCCTGCTAATACAGTTTGACAAGATCCTGCAACTCCGTCAGCATGTACATGATTTCCTCCAGGAGTAGACCTTGCAGTGATCTCTGGATCATGCTAGGATTTTACCCTTTTTGGCCCTAGAGGCGATGAGTATTGATGGTGGTGGGTCCTGAAAAGTTTTTAGATAACCACCACAGAGGAAGCCATTGAAACATTTGTACCCAAGGGAATGCTAGTTTTCGTAGAAGGTGGAAAGATCTGTTTCTGATATGAAGAAATGTTTAGAGGTGCTAGAGAGTCAAGGCTCTTAGATTTGTGCCTGTCTAGAGGCTCCCATATTAAGTCTCAAGTTCCCACTCTTTCCCAACAGCATCTTTTACCTTAGCATAAGAGACTTAGCATAAATATATCTTTATCTGGCATGTGATCCTGAAACCTCTACATTTAGCTTCAGCCATGTCCCTTGCAGATTCATAAAATAAGGATTCATTTAAGGCCACCATAAAAACTTTCTGATTCTCTACCCATGCTTTGAGTTGAGATCTCAAGGACTAAGCTTATCATTTTCTTTTCGGAATCTCTTCAGCACAGTCAAAAGAAGTCATCTCACCCCACAAACTTGGAATCACCATGATACCATAGCAATCAAGTGCCACAGCCACTTGCTGTCCCAATGCCTTGCCCTCCTGTTACCTTCTGTTCCAGTGATATTTGAGTAACTGCGATGCCACCACTTGCTACAGATTAGCAGGGTCCCACTTCTCCCTAGTAAGAAAGCCATTCATGTACTCACCAGCCCAACCTCAGAATGTCACTTGGATGAGCTGCTTTGTTAGGCCACTTCTCATAACACATACTGTATTCATCAGGGCTGAAAAACAAAATGCACATTTGGCTGAGACTTTGAAGAGAAATCAATGAAGAAGGACAATTGGCTGAAGTTTGGGCAGGGTGCAGAGCATCCAGAAGATAATGAGGCACACAGGGACTCACAGCATAGGAAGCCCTTACCATGCTTAATCCTTGGGCCTGAAGGGCAAAGGGAGCTCTGGAGCCTGGCAAGAACCAGAAGTGGCAAAGGGGGCCTGCCTGATAGAATCTCCAGTCCCAGAGGTAGAGAGGAAGTGGGGTGGAAATACTCAACTTTCCCTCTTCCTGTCCTTCAGCCCCCTGCTGGTGCCTCCTGCTGGTGCCTCCCACTGGCCTAACCAGAAGCTGGAGTTGAGGCAGCTTTGCTGGTAAAGTCTACAGAGGTCCCCTTCCTGGGCCACAGAGAAAGGCGGACTGTGTTGGGGGTGAGGAAATAGAAGACAATTAGCACAGGGGGTCTTGTGGAAACAACAAGAGACTGTTCTCCCCTTACCAGAGGATAGCACTTCTGGCAGGAAAACAAGGCATCTAGCAGCTGAAACTGTCCAGAGTGAGTCGGAGGCTCCCTGGAGTTTGTGACTCACTGCACAAAGGTGCCCAAACCTCTGATACGTGGGAAGACCTTTGAACTGTATTATTCAGATTCTGAAATGACCTCTATGAGCAATCTATGTGTATACATATATTTGTAGGATAAATTCCTTAAAATTATGTTGTTTAAGCTCTGGTATATATGTGTTCTGGCTAAATTGGTGACATTTTCTGTTACATGATTTTTATAATGGACTTCAAATTCTATGATTGCACTGTTGGTTCTAGTGAGCAGAATTCAAAACGTAAAGTGGAAAAGATTTTTTTTTTTCTTAGTTTCTGCTTTAGGGATAGTATATCCTCTGAACACTGCTATTAAAATGAACATTCACATGTATATACTTCACCTGATTCCAGTGCTCAGTTTTAAAAGGAAATTTAAATTTCTATTATGCAGTTTGTCGACCATGGCTAATCCTCCATTTTAACAAAGAAAAAAAAAAGAGACAGTTTTCAACAGAAAGAATCAGAGACTTTAATCTTGAACTCACAGTGTTCTTCTCTCCTTTTCACGTTCCAGGAGGACAACTGTTAGTTTTGTGGCTTACTGCTGCTCCACCCAGTGTCTGCAGACTTTTGACCTGCTGAGTTGATAAACACTCAAGAGCCTCAGGAGCGCTGCCAGCTTGACACTGGGGAATCCAGCCAGTCCAGCACACTCTTCCATTCTGTCCTGTCCGATGCGGGGGCACTGCAGAACTCTCTGGAAATGTCGTGATTGAGCTTCAGAGCTAAAATGCCTTCACCCTTCCCCCAAGTTGGAATATATCCCCCAAATTAAGGACCCATTTGTCTTCTGTGTTTTTCCTTTTTATGTGAGTGTGTCTTTTACACAAACCATTTAGATTGATGGGCCTCCCCAAATCTAATTTAAAGCAAGTTTCAGGTGCCTGGAGAACAGTGATTTGATAATCTAGCCAGATTCCCTTTTGAACACGCATACCTTCAATGATGCTTCCTCTCCTCTCCCTTGTTTTCCCCAGAGAGTTATTTCCCTGAGAGCATATTCTCCACAGTGTCTCCAATGGAAACTTGTTAGTTTTTGAGGAGTTTCGGAAAACCCCATGGCCTCAATGGTCTTGAGTAGCAGGGTGGGGTGCCTGAGTTGGCGGCAAAGTGAGGCTCCCATGGAGGCTCAGTGAGGATCCCAGAGCACACACCCTCTGGAAGTTCCAGCCTTGTTTATAAGTTTTACAATGTAGCAACAGACTTTTGTGAGGGATTTTAAAAACAAAAATGTAGATTGTAATAAAATACACTTCTTATTTTTTAAAAATGTTTGCAGAAAAATGATTTTGAAATTTTTTATTTTTCTGATAAGTTTTTTTTTATATGAGAAGAATTTGAGGAATATTTGAAGCTTTACAGGATCTGATTTTTTTTTCTTTCTCAATATAAACAGTTTCCATACAATGAGAAAGGGGGAGAAAACACACATTGAAATAAGACCTCAGTGTTCTTTTTTGATGGGTTTATGATTAAGTTTATACTGACTTTGAAATATTTTTGTCACACGTGAAAGACAGGCTTCAGCTACTTCCACTACTAGTTTTTAACAGGATGATTCTAAGTACAAGCTGTGCACATTTACTTGGTCACCTGATGCATGACATTGTCTTCATTTTGACCCTCGTTTCTTGTATACTTAGCATACTGTCCAGATGCAACTGAGAAAATACAGGAAAAGCAGGTCCAAATTCAGCCTTGGACTTCTGCAAAAGTCCATAAACAGAAAGTCTGTGAGCCTCCACCCTGCCAGAAAGAACTGCTCTTCATGAAGGAGTCACGTATTTGCTCTTCCTTTCAAAGGATGGCATTTTAATGTTGCTTTGCTGCCAGATGTTCATCTGGTTGCTGTGAAGTGATTCTTTTTTTAAAATGTTTTTTAATGATGTAAGTTTTCTAAAAGGCAGGGCTGAATGGAGAACTAAGGATTTTCTTGGTAGAAAAATTATATTTTTTAAATTTCAGACTTATCAAAAATTTGGTTGATGGAATTTTTATTAGCCGCCCTGACTTTATAATGCTACGCTCTAACAGTGCCAAAAATCCTACATAGTTACTGACAAATGTGTGATCTTTTTACAGTCACACCACCTGCTGCCCGGAAAGCACATCATCCACGTAGAATGGAGAAGGCAGAAAGTTACCATGTGTTCCCACTGTATCTGCACTGTTCTTACTTCCTCTTGTCCCTTTTCATAACTTGGTCTATTCAGCCTTAACATTTCAAAGGCTTATAGTAAAATAGGAACTGAAGATCTGTATCAAAATGTAACACTTTCATCCTTTGGAATAACTGAAGTTTTAACATAACCTCTACATGCATATAAGTTAGCCGGTGAAAATGTGGCATGAAACTTCACAATTGTGCTTCAGGCCTAAGTGACTGCTACCTATCATTTAAGTGACAGTAAATGTCTTGCTACATTTTTCTATTTCATCCTCTACAATCATATGTCATGGAATGGAGCTATGAAATGTGCTAACTTGGTATTCAGGACTCTCATTGTGATAAGGTAATACATTAGTTTTACCTTGTTTGAAATTTTACAAAGATGCTTATAATCCAAGCATTCTTTCTCTACCTAACTACGGTGTGTTAAACAACAGCAGTGGGCTGGGCAGACAACCTTTGGGCAGTCTCAACCTTAATCCTTGGGTATAGCACCTGAACTTAATTGATGAGAAGTGGAACTTAAATGGTTTCCCTGGTGCTGTTCATTGTGGAAATTTTATGCTGGATTCATCGATGTCATTCTTAATCTTTTGATATTATAAAGGAGTGTTATCAACTGGGGAAAATTTGCCTACATGCTGTATATTTGAATTGTGTCCAAAACTTTGCAGAAAAGCAAGTCTGAAGTTACTATATATGTTGTTTTCTTGAGCAACAGTTATGCTAGGTAGAAAAGTATTTCACACAGTAATAGTAATGCAAAAAAAGTGAGCTACTTGGAAAGTATCTCTGTTCAGGTAAGTTTACTTCAGTGAGCTCTCGTGTGGTTAGTGGTAAATTTTAAAGTCCAGGATAGCCTCATGAGCATAGGCCTTCATATGATGTAGTGCAAAGGGGGCCCATTTTAGTGGATTACCCTATCAGTGTTCATCAGTATGTCCAATTGTTATCATACCAGAAACCTTAATTACATAACATTGTATGGATGAAATGCTGCATCTTCAGTTAATACATGTTTTGAGCACACTCTTAAAATACATAATAATTAAATGATCCCTATTCAAAAGAGCCCTGGCCTGGGCAGAGGATCCACTCCGGCTAACGGATAAGAGTGATGTACTTCTTTGTTACCTGGCCCTTCACTTATGGAAAAGTGAGGTGTACATTAAACATCTTTTGGTCACTGTGCTTCACTAAGACCTTTCACACTCCAGCTTGTCTGACTAGTGTAATGTACATCTCACTCCTGTTTTACATTGAGCATTACAAATTAAAATCTTTACAGTCTAGGAAAAAAAAAGGCTTCAACACCAGTTGGCTTATGAGGCTCTGCGTATAATTTTCTCTAAAGTACATAACTATTTTGTAGTCTCTGGGGACTTTCAAAGCCAGTTTTTAAAATTATTAGTAGTAAAGTTGTTTCTCTTTCCTGAATGAAAAATCAGAAATTCTAATCTTTGCTATAAAGTACTTAATACATTGCCTCAGCATAAATCAAAACATTTGTATTATGATGATTTATGAACATGGATTTCTAACTGGACCAACACTAATGCAACCTGATACAATTAAAAATTGAGATGTAAATTCATTTCACAGACTCATAAACACACTCTCTTCAAGACTCTTTAAATGGATCCTTACATTACCCTGCTTATTTTATTATGCCTTCATTTTTGTGGTTTTCATTCACTCCTGCTTGCTCCTCTTGAAGTTCTCATACATTTTCCCAGAAACTCAGTGAATATCTTGTCTGTGCTTCAAACAAAGGGGGTTTTTATAAAGTTTGTATTTTGAAATAGCTCTATGTCTGTCTAAAAATCAAGTCTCAGCGGTGGCTCACGCCTGTAATCCCAGCACTTTGGGAGGCCGAGGACGGCAGATCACCTGAGGTCAGGAGTTTGAGACCAGCCTGACCAGCATGGTGAAACCCCGTCTCTACTAAAGATACAAAAAATTAGCCAGGCATAGTGGCGCACACCTGTAGTCCCAGTTACTCGGGAGGCTGAGGCAGGAGAATTGCTTGAACCCGTCAACCAGGGTTGCAGTGAGCTGAGATCACACCATTACAATCCAGCCTGGGCAACAGGGTGAGACTCCGTCTCAAAAAAAAAAAAAAAAAAAAAATCGTTCAAGGTCTCACTGTGCCTACAGGGAGGAACTACCTTCCTGTGTCATCAGCTAATAGATCTGAAAGTGATGCCGGTGTCTCTAGGAAAGGGATTGATCATAGCCAAGTGACTGATATTCTTGGTCAGGAAAAGAGCTTGCTTCACAGCCTTTGAAGCATGACTGTATGTGTGGTCCCATTGTACTTTGGAGACGGAAAGTATAGCAGCCAATGTGGTGGCTGGGCAGAAGGCGTAGCATTTGGAGATTATTTCTATATGTAATTAAGAGACTTTCAAGGGTTAGCTGGGTTTTTTTCCACTCCACAAGTGTGGATTATCGTTGCTACCTGTGTTAAAGAATATCAGGTTTTGTTTCTTATGGTGATTTTTGAGTCTTAATGATCCAAGATTTTTAAAATAGATACATAATGAAAGGATTGTCCAGGCCTCTGAAAAATTATGGCAACATTCATTTGGAGTGTGGCTAAAAACTCATACTTCATCCAGTTTGATTGCCTCTCTCAGTTACTGCAGTTTATAGAATAATTGAGCTTGAACCATGTGAATGCTCAGAATGTCAATGGTGGAGTATTTATTCAAGATAAATGATTGAATCTCGGTATGAACAACGAGGTATTTCCCCCTTCCATCTCTGTTGTATCCTTGAAAACCAACAGTATACAATGAAGGTGAAAAGTAGCAGCCTGGAAGCCACTAGAGGGGGCAGAATGGACTTAGAACTCCTTTAAAGCCTCATTTCCAGAGAATTGTCATTATTTGACCTGTCAGGCAGGTCCCTGGAAGACCTCATTTGCAAGACTGTCTTTACTTTACCAGATTGGAGCTTGCCAGGTGTGAAAAGCCTTTTTCCCAGGGACGTTAATCAAGAAAGACTCAGAGGCAATTGGTTAATTTTGTGGTTGCCTCAAGTGGTGACCAACCCTTGGAGCAGACAGTAGGCTAACCAAAAACGTAAAAGGAAAAGCTAGGGAATGAGATGTCCATAAGGACCTCAAAAAGTTCTGGTATTCTCAGGAATTTAGATGGTCATGTGTATGTATAGAGCTTTGCATATGCCAAGGGTTATACTCCTGCTCAGGAAAGACTTAAGAATATCTTGAGCTGTCACCGTAGGTTGACCTTGACACACAAGCAGAAAGTGAGGCCAAAGGCAGCTTCCTTCCTGTCGCCTTCCTGGCTCAGTGTTGAAGGGGTGCCCCAACAGGCACCCAGAGCCCTTAGTACAGACTTGGAGACGTAGCACAGTAAGAAAACTCCCTTGGGAATGTTTAGGGAAATTTCTGTCCAATCATTAGCTGACCACTAAACGACCCTAGCAGAGACTTCAGTGTCCATGCACTATAAAGAATATATACTTTACCTAATTAGTTCAGAATAGTCACTAAACAAGCCAAAAACTCAGCAAGTACATCAAACCCTTAGCAAGGAGATAAAAAGGTAAGTATGATTTCCAGAGTTGCCACATTGTTCTTTGAAATGTCCAGTT